TGAAAAGAGTCATTATAATAAATATTTTAAAATTGATCAACTAGAACTATAGTATTTAAAGTTTTTGAAACAGTCATATTAATGCAAAGTTGCTTCAAATGACTTTGACTAGACAGATGTTTCCAAAATTTTGAGGGGAATAAAAAATAGAAAATATCATAAGTTGATTTCAATTAAAGTACTTAAAATTTAGAAATAGATGCTCTAGGTGGTTCTGTTAAGACAACCAGACTGAAGCAATGATAGTGACTGCTAATGTGAAGTTGTCTTTGTATTAACTCAGTTATTAGGATAGACATACAAGAGGTAAATTAATTTTATCCTCCACAGAACCATAAATTTATAGATTGAAAATATAACTATAAAACAGAAGGCTTTAAAATTTAGAGATCACAAGCAAAAAAGCGATTAAAAATGTTGGTGTTTCACTGAGATTCCATCCCACTCCTGAAAGAATGGCCAGGATCAAGAAAACCACCAACAACATATGCTGGAGAGGCTGTGGGGAAAAAGGAACTCTCTTGCACTGTTGCTGGGAGTGTAGACTGGTGCAACCATTGTGGAGGTCAATATGGAGATTTCTCAAAAAGCTGGGATTGGAAGTCCCATTTGTCTCAGCTATTCCACATTTGGGCATATTACCAGAAGAACCAAAAGCATCATACTACAGTGATATATGTGCACCCATGTTTATAGCAGCACAATTTGTAATAGCCAGATCTTGAAAACAACCTAAGTGTCCATCAATTAAGGAATGGATAAAAAGGTTGTGGCATTTTTATACAATGGAGTACTACTGAGCTATAAAGAATGATCACATTGAGATATAAATAAGTGGACACAGCTTGAGACCATACTCATAAGCAAAATAAATCAAACTCACATGTATGAATACCGAATAGTTTCCCTAGTGTAAGAAATGGTATAAATACATAAAAGTATGTGGTAATCATGATTCTCCATTATATGGCTTTGAAGCATTATAAAGTTTTCACACATTAATTGGAATGGTTTTATTCTGGGCTGTTTGAATTTATTGTCTGTGATGATATGAACAGCTATTTTGAAGAAAACAAGACATCATAATAGCTAGTGATGATTTAATATCATCTTGTTTTGAGGTCCCATCAAACTGTTGTTCTTCTATCTCCATTGGTTTTATCATGTTGTACCTTATTGGATTTTTTTTTTTATTTAAGAGGAAAAAGAGAAAAACACAAAACAAACCAAAGCGGCGTAAGGGTACACGCAATACAGAACTACAAAACAAAACAAAACAAAACAAAACAAAAAACCATAACAGTAAGAAATTACCTGCTAGTAGATTACACACTATTTTCTTGAAAATAGTTCCTCAAATCACAGTATCAAAGAACACAAGGTGGACATTCAAACAGGGAGACTGCAAATAGCTGTGTTCAATGTTCCAAAAACATTGATAAAGTCAGCTATTTAACACCCCCAAACACACTTGCTGTTATATCCGTTAGAGCTCTTTTTCTTTTTTTTTTTTCCCTCTCTTTTTTACAACAAAATTTACACATCTTGGATTTTATTACTCCTTAGTGCTTATTACTTTCTTTGGGTGGGGGGAAGAATACAGTCAAATATGGCAAAACAAAGCTGTCAGTCAATACCAAGGATAGACATAGCACATGGTGTAGAACAGAGTACAAGTTTATCAACAATGGTTATCAACGTTGTCCCTTGTTTCCTTAAAAAGAATTGTCTATCTTATTAGATATTATAAAGTTGGACAAAACAGTAGAGAACAAGACCAATAAAACTTAGGCATTGTAAACATTACAGGACTTCCAAAGAAGACAATAGTCAAACCAGAATGGGTATCTTAGTGAATCTTATTGTCTTCAAAGTAGTTGCCTATGTCTTCAAACTTGATACTATCATATAGAATGGAACAGAGTCTAATCAGTCAAAACAAGATCGTGGGAGTACTACAGGACTTCAAAACAAGTTAATAGGAAATCGAAAAGAGTTACTATTTATATATCCTAATTTTTTTGAATTTTTTCTTTAATTAAGACAAACATAAGAAATGACTAAATAATTTTTTTTGAAACAATAAGGGGGAGACCTTATTGGATTTTATTATATGTGATAGTATAAACAAATTTTTTATAGGCAAAGAGATAATATAGAGACCATTGCTTGTTTTCTGTTAGCTAGTTCTAAATACCTTGTAATACTTTCATCCTCTTGAATGGTTTCACACTTTCTCGATATGTTTGATGCTATAGTATACGAAATTATACTCAAATATTTCAAGGAAAGAGACACTATCGTAACTACCATTAAGTCGGGTTATCTTGTGGTGGAACACTATGTTGCTTAAATTGTTCTGTTCTGACTTGTATTGTTATGTTGTTATGCCCTCTTTTATATCAATCTCCCCTCTTTATTTTTTAAATTAGGGGAAAAATTAAAAAAAAATTAGCAGGATGTATTATAGTAACATTTTTGATTTCCTATTAACTTGATTTGAAGCCCTGTATTGCTCTCACCATCTTGTTTTGACTGATTTTACTCTATTCTGTTCTGTTCAATAGTATCAAATTTGAAGATACAGGCAACTACTTTGAAGGCAATAAGATTAACTATGATGCCCATTCTGATTTGACTATTATTTTCTTTTGAAGCCCTGTAATGTCTCCAATGTTTATGTTTTATTGGCTTTATTCTTTACTGTTTTGTTCAATTTTACTATACCTGATGATATAGGCAATTCTTTTTAAGGATAGTACGAGGCATTATGGTAATCATTGTTGATTACCTTGTATTCTGTTTTTACATCATGTGCTATGTCCATCCTTTGTTTTGACTGACTCCGCTTTGTTTTGTCACATTTGATTTTATTCTCTTCAAAAAAAGTAATAAGAACTGTGGGAGTAATAAAACCCAAAATATATAATTGTTATTGTAATAGAGAGTGGAAAAGAAAGTGCTCTAAAGGATACAATGGCAAGTGTGTTTAGGTGTGTAAGAAAGATGACCATATTACTAAATTTTTGTTGCATCATTGAACACAACTGTTTGCAGTCTCACTGTTTGAATGCCCACTTTGTATGCTTTAATTTTGTGACTTGAACAACTATTTCTAAGATGACAATATGTAATCTATTAACTAGTGATTTGTTACTGTTTATTTATTTATTTTTTGAAATTCTGTATTACTTGTACTCTTTTACTGTTTTGGGTTTTTTCCTCTTTCTTTAAATAAAAAAAATGTTGGTGCTTCCTACCTCATCTTGGATTTCCCTCAATATTATGGAGGTGCAAGTCTGGCCAGGATGAAGGTTCTTTGTCACAAAAGTCTCCCAACACATGATGCAACCTGGATTTTACCAATTCATGATGATGGGAGTGGCTTGAGTGTGAGAATGGTAGGAGATACATAAATACTGTGAGTTGGACTATATAACAGGCCTGAAATTTCCTCTGTAGTATGCAGAGAGGATATGAAGAAAGACCAATCTGCATAACACAATTGAGGTAGCATTTAATGTTTAGGCAGCAGTGTTTTAACTCTATTATGCAAACTTTTTCTACCCTGGGAAGTGAGAGCCTCTTATCTCAAGACTCAAAAGCAACTGACAGTCCTGGAATGGTGGGTCTGCATCCTGCGCAGCTCAACCATGTTTATGGAGTCACACAGTAGGAAAACAGTGACTGTCACCTCACTTCCAAGATTACACACCAGCATCTCAGCCAACCCTATAGAAGGGAAAAGGAAATAGCTTAGCCAGCTTTGTCATATAAGTACATGGAGATAGGACTGTGTTTAACCAAAATGGAGATGATTGCTCTTTGTTCAAGGAGAGTTGTGTAGGTAGTCCTCCACATAGTACTGTGTATGCCTGTGGATGATTGACCTGTAGGCAAGCAAACTGAGGGGAAAAGATCTATCTTGGATTTGGATGGAATCAACCAATAGTCTTGCAGTCTCGATGGAATAAAAAGAGAAAGAAGGAAGTGTCCTGTTTGGGAAGAGCTCCAATCTTCACCACCATCTTTACACATTGGTTTCCAGTTTCTTTAGACTTCCAATACATACTTACACAGGTGATTCTACAGTAAGCTAAACACCTTGGCTTTCCAGTGTGCAGAGGTCCACTGTGAATTTTTCTGCCTCTCATCCTGCAAGTTTACCTGCTAAATTCCCTTGTATAATCATACATATATAATAATAGTTCATAATAAACTAACTAGTCTTTTAATGTCACTACTATAATGAGATTTCAAAGATTCTGTTGCTTATAACATGAAGAAAATGTATTTCAATATATTTACCTGTTCCTGCATAAAGCATTATACATATAACCTTATTTATATCTAAGGAAGTTTCCTTGTAAATATCTATGACTTAAATTTTCTTGGTAACCTTAACTTAAATAAGATTCTCAAATAAAGATTTTTCAATGCTTTTTTTTTCATCTAGAAAGAATTTGTCTTTTCTAGTATTATAGAATTTCTTTTAGTTTGTGATATAAATTCAAATTTTTTGTAATTGATGTGTTGTATGTAATACATGAAATGAAACTTTCAGCAGAAATATTTGAGGTCTTTACCTACGACAAAATAAATTCATTCTATAAGTTTAAATGTAATAAAAATATTTTATCTGGTTTTGTATGAAGCCTGACCTACATGGGTCAAGCCTTTCCCATGATTCAGTTTTCCATTACTACTTAGATAATCACAATGACTCCTGAATTTTCAGTCATTTCAGCTTTCTTCTTTTGCTAAATGTGGCTCTTTCTCCTAACTACACATAAAGACTTTTTATGCAAAGGTACATTACTTGAGGAAACACTTACTGGGGGCTTAATGAGGGTTTCTGCAAATACTTTTTGTAATGTATCATTCAGAAACAAGTGGGCTACTGTCTTCCTTTCTCAAGACCAATGTATTCTTTTTTTCAGATGACAGAAAAATAAACAGTTTTGGTATAAGAAAAAGCAAAACCAGGAGTCACATCACTATTAATTGCCTAAAGAAAATTCCATTTAATTTTTACTTATCACAATGGCAGAAGAGTGAAGCAGAGACTGAAAATGATAAACTGTCATTAGGCTAGTCAGTTTTCTACCTAAAAGCCATTACTGTTTATTTCCCAACTCACACTTTTGCAGGAATATAAGAAATACTGAAGACATAGAAGGGGATGCTCAGAAGATGAAATGTTTCAAAAGAGTCTACATATCAAACATACCCACAACCTGAGAGTGAATAAACTCAACTACACTCATATGAAATGAGATGTACATAAACTTCCATCAGAGAAGCCAAAAATTTAGGCTTTGCTAATATTGTTTAACAAAACCATAATCAGAAAATGAACAACAATTTTATTCACATACTTTTAATAAAGAATGTAGGAAAATAATGCTGGCTAGCATTTGTCAATATTTCTGCAACAAGATACATGGTTTTAAGAACACTATATACAGTGCCTTTTGAGCAGATTGGTGGAAAAATGATTTGTAGCAAATTGGCAATGAGTTAAATTGCTGAGGTTCTCAGTGCTTTTCTTTTTCTAGCTTTTCAATACATTTCGTATATTACCAAGACCTGGTCTCAGCTTTCCTGCTGTGTTCCTTCGCTGATTTCACCAGCAGGGTAAAAACAATTATTCCCCAAATACATGCTATTTTATTTTTTAACTGCTATTTCCTAATAGCAATCTATTGCCTTCTTTAACTCATTCTGCTAATGGCTGTGTACCAGGCTGTTCCAAAGAAAACATTTAATGTGCAGGACACAGCCCTAATCATTTTGGAGAAGCAAACAAGTCATGGGCCACATGCTTTTAGAACCCACGCAATAATTATTATATTACATAACAGCCATATACAGAGAGTTATAATATGATACATTATAGCTATGATTAAAGAAATGCAGATGTATCATACCTTGTCAGTCACTTCATACTGAGTGGATTGAGCTCATGAATTTTCTTAGAACACAGGACTTATGGAAGTGTTTGGTGATTTTGTTAGATTCTTTACATGTCTGTGTTCTGAATATGTCTCTTGAATTAACTAAGTCTCAGCAACTTTGATAGCAGAAGTTTTCAAATATGTGAAGGATGTCTTTTTCATGTGCTATGATTCTTGGACATTGTTTTTAAAAAAGTAAAGAAAGTAACTCCTTAAACTACTTCCTGCTTGAGAAAATTCAGATCTCTTGGGGAGGTCTCTTGAGAATTGTGTGTGCATGTACATATGAGGGATAATTTTTGCAGTGCTGGGGTTTGAGCTCAGGGCCTTCACACTGAGTCCTTTATTATATTTTAACTTTTGAGACAAAGCATCATGAAGTCACCAAGCTGCCTACATTGGGTTTGAAGTTGAGATACTCCTGTCATAGCTTCCCAGAATGTAGGCATTATAGACATGCACTACCATACCCAGCTGTGAATGTAAACATATATAAATATGTAGTGTGATGTGAAATAGATAGGCTTTGAATGATTTGTATTCCTGTGTATATGCCACAATTCAGGTCTGAATTACAATAATGGATATTCACACTTGCTATGACTTTGCTTGAATCTCTGTTAATTGAAATGACTAGAGTTTGAGCAATTTGGCAGAAACATGGAGAATCACATTGTTGTCTTGGCAAAAACAGTCCTGAGATTGGATTTTCTGGTGTTACAAGGGATTATGGCACTGGCCAATGCTGTACAGTGTGAAATTTATGTGTCACACAAGGCCAATGGGAAAAAGAGGCACATATTGAATTAAAAAATAAGGGTTGTATAAATTTCATACTTCAATGTTTTGCACAAAGTTGGACTCTTTGTAATGTGATCCTATCTTTGCTAGTATCAGTATTATAAGCTGTTCCACGGTAATTCCAGTACTAGGAAGTCAACTCGTTGTGTATTGGACACTGTAACTGTAAGGACATCTATGTGCTTTTGGATAGCATTGCATCTCTTTTTTAGCCTTAATTTTTCCAGATCTACCACAGGATAAATAATTTCCATTCTTTCTCTTTTCAAGGACATTGTTGGAACAAATAGAGTAACATTAACAAAGTACTCTAAAACAGTAACAACAGCAAAAACAAAAAACAGCAAAGTACTCTAAGTTATCCATGCAAAGTCTGCAATTAAAGAGTGGAAGAAAGACTAAAGCATATTACTCAGAAATATTATTATGGTTAAACTTTTCATCCCAGTGTTGCAATTAAAGATATATAAGAGCACTAGGGAGTTACACAGCACCTTTCAAATGTAAGATCTTAACAATGAGTACATTATTGCAAATAGGAGAAAAGATTAACATAAATTAAGGAATGAGATCCATAGAGATTATTGAACAAGCTTCCACTGACAAGAAAGACAAGGAGACAGATCATGGCATGCTTATTATTAAATGGAGCTCTCTGTCTTCTTGATCAATAATTAACCAGATGGATGGCTATACACAGTAGTTAAAATTGAAATGATCTATGGATAGGGATATTATCAATCTATAAAGCAGTAGGATCAAAGTGCTAAGATAGGAATAGATTTTATATTTCTCCAAGTCTCCAAGCAGTATAAGTTTGTAAGACATTAAACAATCAATTTTACATTATAGCTACCCAGACTTGTACCTTTCCACGGCTTCTCTGTAGTTTGCTGACACTGTCTTTTGGGACCTGATTTGTGACAATACTCAGTACTGATACATTCTATGCATCAGAGAAGTTCTTCATGCCTTTGACTTTGAATCATAAATAGCAGCTGCTCTGCCTAAACTCTTAGCAGAAGGTGACAGATGGGAAAGAGGAAGATTGCTTTGAAGCCCACTGGTTATTGAGGAAGCAATCTTCCTCTGTTCATAGAAAGACATATTTGTATAGGAAGAGGAAACAAAACTTATTGATCAAAAACCAGGCAGATAGTCAAATAAGATTTTAATAGAAACTTAAACAAGAGAACTGTTTTAGAAGGAAAATGGAAGGAAAATCTTCCAATTTTAACATATGAGATTTCATCATGAAATCCAGTGATAAAAGTCTTTTAGACTGTTCCTTAGCTTCTGAGTTTGAGACACAATCCCTTATTTCTTGTCTTAATATAGTCATGTCTAGTGTCATCTCAAGTGAAATGCTGAACTAAATTCATATATTTTATGCTAAAATTCTCATTTCTGTCAAAAGTATCTATGGGGTCCAAATAAATAGATTTTGTTGCTGCTTTAAGTAGATGGATTGCTCACTTTCTCAGTGGCCCTCGAACCTTAATAATGACTTATCTATGGCAGGCAACTAACTCTTTTTTTCTCAAAAAGATTTCAGGAAGATAATTTGTAAATCAAACTATCCTATTGGAGACTCAATTCTTTGATATCTGTAAGATGCCTGTAATTTCCACTGATCTCTGAAAGAGTTGGGAGTTTTATTTTCAGCAGCTGGACACCACAGCGCTGGTTCAAATGTGAAAAATATCAATACTCTTTTAAGTATTATTACTACAAAGAAGCATCACTAGTCTTCATTCTCATTGATACAGGTACTGGGACTGAAAGAAAGGCTGATTTTAAATAAATGGGGAAATGAATATAAATTATGTTTGAGCTGTAACTAAAACTTAAAAACAGGACTGACATATTACAGTTCAGTTATCACTATCTGTACATTAATTCTTGCTATGAAAACACAGCTCTTTTGTTAATCCTCAGCTAATGTCAGCTATGAAACTTTATCCCTTTAAATGGTACTAAAATGAAACCTGAAAGTCACCCTTAAATCATTTATAAATCTGATAGTCTGTAATTTATACAGTTTTTCTTTCATCTTAAAAGTAATACATAAAGATTAAAACTAGACAGTAATTAATATAAATAATTGGAGAATTTTACCACAGCCTGGCATTAAATCTTTAGAACATTAATTACTACTTGTTAAAAAGTCAAAATCTAATCTGATTTAATTTGATCTTTCAGGAAAATTCTGGATTTGAAGACTTTGGTCACAGTGTATCAAATATTTATCTCAAATTTTAGATATCTGATATGGGGAAGGTTGAAGCTCAGCAAATATATAAATTTCTCTTTAGGGGAAAAGCATGATTCATTAAAAGCTTCTGCTTTTTTAACCTTAATTTTTATGACATTATGGCAGAATTTTGTGTAGTGATGCTGAAAAGTACATGTTCATAATAGCACATGCACACAAACAGCAATACCAAATAGACCCTGTAGATACGATAGGCTTTCTGGGAGAATTAGTGTTCAAAACAAATATTTAAAATTCCCTTTTGCCTGATGAGATGAATGTAAGGATATATGTTTTATATGCTTTCATGGATTTGGAAAAGTGTAAGAAACAAAAAGAAACTAGTTTAAAAATAATTGTTGCTAAATTGGAATTTACTCAGTGTATTAAATTATATGTAAAGTATTCAAACATCTGCACAGCAAGTATTTGATGAAATGCTTTCAATTTCTGAAGATTTTAATCCAACATGATGACTTGTTTTGAAGATTAGAATGGTTCCCAACATTGGATTCTGTAAGTCTCATGGGAGATAATGGGTCCTGGAAATGAAAAGAAGAAATTCATTGGTGAGCTTAACTTTAACCATTTATAAGGTAATGTCAAAGTATAACACTGTTAAAAATTATGTTCATGAAGCATTAGAAACAGCATTGAAAAATGTTAAGGGAAAAAAACAACATGTAGAAATATATATATATATATATATATATATATATATATATATGAACTCAGGGTTGCTCAATGACTGAGCTACATCTCCAGCCCTATTTATTTTTAAATTTTGAGATAGAGTCTCTTTAAATTGCCCTTAGATTTTTATCCTCTGCCTTCACCTCCTGAATAGCCACCACTCCTAACAGTTACTGTTATTTTTAACTCAAAAATTGTATCTGTAACTAAAAACAGCAAATTCATCTAGTTGTTAAAATTGGTGGGCTTATGAGTAATTTATTTTCATTTTTACTATGTCCTACTTGTATTTCTTGCATTTTATTTAGTAAATAGATAATAATTGATGATTTAAAAACGTTTATTTTTGAAATCTATATGGAAACAATATGAGCTTTGAAACTTAACAAGCTTGAATTTGTATTCTAGCTTTGACACTTCTGATTCAGTGACTCTGACCAAATAACATCAATGAACCTAGTTTTCTTATCTGTAAATAAGCAAAATAGAACCTATTTGAAAGAATAGAACACTGTAGACACTCAAGTAGCTGCTATTAGTATAAACTTTCTGGAAAAATATTCAGTCACATACCTTGAGTCTTTAAAAGTCCATAAAAATAATGTGGCTTCTAGGATTCTGTAGAATTGGTTACAAATGGGGTAAAAGATTTCTATTCAATACACACAGCCTTATCCATAATATGGAAAAATCAGGCAAGATCTTAATGTTGGACAGTAGAGAAATGGTTTGATAAGAAACATATCCTTGGTGTATTGCATAATTCTTCTAGTGTTACTGAAAAAATATTTAAAACAGAATATGATAATGTTTCAATATTTAAAAATATACCCATAAAAATATTAGAAAGGATACAAAATGTTCATTCATTGAATTTAGGTGGGAGGATTAGGAGGGATTTTAATTTTTTTTCATAGCTCTGTTTCATATTATGCTTTATACAGTTTTAAAATTAATTCTAACATGTATTATTATCTTTTGGTTACAAAAGCAAAACATTTCATCATAAAATACTTGGAAAATATAAAAATAGATAAAGAAAAATAGTGGCCTATTATCTCACAGACTTTCAGATTCTCCCTTCTTATACATTCATTGAAGAAATATTTATTGACTATTTGTTTATCAGGCACTGTGCCCTAGAAGGTGGTATTAAAATGTGTTCAAGACAAAATTACTATCCTGAAAGAGTTTACAATCAAGGGTGGAAGACAAACAACTAAATAGAGTATTACTGTACAGAATAAAAGTCTGTTGCATAGTATTATGGTAGTACCCAGAACATATATAAAGTTGTGGGTATTAGTCAGTGATGAATAATTGATATGGAATGTGAAACCTGGAGGCTAAATATTATCTAGCCAGCTTGGGAATGGGGGTTGGAGTGGAGGAAATGTGAAGTGGTTAAGCAAGCATTCAAGTCATGGAAAAGACTAGGCATGTGTTTGAGAGATTGAAAGAAGTAGAATAATGAAACACAAGGTTGGAAAAGTGAGTAGGTGCTAGATCACAAAAGAATTTATAAATTTTGCTAAGGAGTTCAGGTTATGCTGAGAGCAACAGAAGAATCATGAACAAATTTAGAGGTTTCATCATTGTAGTTGCACTACAGAGAATGGATTACAAGTTGAACAAAATTGGAGACAGGAAGACCAATTATAAGGTTACTTCATAGGTGACATGTGATCTAGTGGCCATGATAATTAAAACAGAAAAATATATACCTTCCCATGATACTTAGGAATTAAAATAAAAACACTGGTGATTAATTAGATGAGGCATAGATGAAGAAAACAAAACAAAAAAGAAATAGGTATCTTAGAGAGAAAGAGAAGTTGAAAGCCACTTGTCCATTCAAGTCTAGAGCTCAGGTGAAAATGTGGGGCTGGACTGGAGACTTCTGTGAGTGGGATCATTGGCAGCCCCTGCTCCTTCACTCTGGAGATCTCTACAGATGGCAGGATTGTTGGTTGCCACTCCTCCTCCATCCAAGAGACCACAGGGGCTGGTGGGATCATTGACAACCCCTCACCCTCTGCCTTAGAGACATCAGGGGCTGGTAAGATCAACAGCAGCCCCTCCTACAGCACAGAGACCTCTGCAGCCAGAAGGATTGTCAGTTGCCACTCCTCCTTCAGCTCAGAGGCATCATTACTTCTCCACCACCTGAGACATTAGGGGCTGGCAGGATCATCAGCATCCCCTCCTGTTCCACCATAGAGACTTCAGGGACTGGTTGAATTGTCAGTCACTGCACCTGCTTCACACCAGAGACTTTGGGATGGCGGTCATTGGTCACCACTCCCACTCACCCCAGAGACCTCAGAGGCCATTAACCATCAGTGACCCCTTACATCACCTGAAGAACCCTGGCGGGCTGGTGGAAGCCTCAGCAATCCCTCACACACAGATGACCTCAGTGGATCTGCAACAGTGTGATGAGCTTCTACCTAAAATTGAGGACCTCAGTGGGTAAAGAGGTGGAGCAGCAAACCCTCCTTTCCAGCTGTAGGACCTTGGCAAACCCGGCAAAAGGGTGGGTGGGTCATTCTCCCATACACACAAAAACAGGTGGGTTGAGGAGAGTGCCAACAAGGCCTCCCCCCAACCCAGATGTACTTTAAAGGGCCAAGGAGATCCCCAGTGATACAATAGAGTATCAGCTAACGTACTATAGCCAGGTAGATCAGGCAAGTTGGAACAGCCAAAAGCCTCAGTAACAATAGGAGCTAAGGTTTGGTTAACATCAATCCTACTAGTCTAGTCAGCCTAGGGAGAATATAGGACTTGCCCAAAAGGCCCCGCAGGAAGAATGCAGGTGACTGGCCCTTCCTGTGGGACCCAGCAATTGGACAAATACCACCAATATCCTGAGAAGCAAACGATGGTTGGTTGAGACTAGTGGAATTGAAAAGAGCAAAATATTAATCCAAGAGGTGAAAATGACAAAATGAATAGTCAAAGTGCAATCTCAGATGTCCATTTCATCAGTAACAAGCATAGGAGACATTGAAATAGAGGCTATTAGGGCTGGGGATTTAGCTCAGCGGCATAAATGCCTGCCTTGCAAGTGTGTGCTCCTGAGTTCAATTCCTGGTACCGGTAAAAATACAAAAAAAGTGAAAGAAATAGAGGATATTAGAAGTCACACAGCTGAAATTTTTGAAAAGATGGCAAGTGAAATAAAGGAACAAATCCATGAGGCTATTGAATAAATCAGATTAAAAATAATCTCTCAGGTAAGAAAGACATGACAACCTTAATAAAAGAATTGATCAGCATTGGTAGAGAAGACATAGATAAAAAAGTACAAGTGAATGGGGAAATAATGGAAACCCTGAATAAACAATTTAGGAAAAATATGGAGTGCATGGAACAAATTCAAAGAGATACCCAGGAAGTAAAAAATTCTATTGAAATCTGATGAAGCTGCTTGAATGAAGCTGAGGGTAGATTTTCAGACTTTGAACACAGGATCACAGCTAGGAATCATGAAAGGGAAGAACTTTTAAAAATAACAAAGGAGCACGAAATAATAAAAAGCTTCAAGATGATGCAAAGAGAAGCAATATAAGATTGATAGATGTCAATGAAAATGCAGGAATTAATGTAAATGTTATAAAAAACACTATTCACAAAAACATTAGCAGAAAATTTCCCAAACATGTGAAAGGCATTGGATATACAGATAAGTGAGGCATATAGAACACCAAAAAGTCTTAACCAAAATAAATCTATACCTAGACCTACAATAATTAAGATCCCAGAATTTCAGTATGAAAAAATACTAAAAGCTGTTAGAGAAAAAACAGAAGTCATCTATCAAGGAAAGCCCATTTAAATCATAGCAGACTTTTCAGCACAAACCCTCATGTTTGGAGGAGCTTGGAATGAAGCACTTCAAACCATGAAAAAAAACTTTCAACCCAGATTGATGTACCTTGCAAAGTTTGTTTCGAAATTGATGGAGAAACAAGATACTTCCATGACAGAGAACAGTTGAGTAAATTCATATCTACTAAGCCAGACATAGAAAGAATATCAAAAGACATACTAGACAGACAAAAATGACTACAATTCCCAGAAGAACAACCGAAAGAAACCGGCAAGCTATTAATCAAGGGGGAAAAACAGGAAAACAACAACAGGAAAATATCATAGCAAAGATAAGCCAGTACATATCAGTTATATCCATCAATGTAAATGGCCTGAATTCATGAATTAAAAGAAATAGGTTGATATAATGGATCAAGAAACAAGTTCCAACAATATTCTGTATATAAGAAACATATCTGACTCAAATGGAAATAGACTAAAAGTCAAAGGATGGAACACAATATTCCATGTGACTAGAAACCAGTAAAAAGCAGAGGTAGCTATTCTGTTTGTAGAGAATGTGAATTTCAAACCAAAAACAATGAAAGGAGATAATGAAAGTCACTACATACTTATTAGTGGAAAAATTCAAGAGGACAAACTAACAATCATAAATATAGCACGCCAGGCCTGGGGTCCTGAGTGTGTGCGGGTTGAAACCCAGCACACAAGGAAGCCATGGAATATCACTCTCAGGTGGTAAGACCACATGCTGCACCTGAAATCATCAGAGAAGGCATTGGAGGTCCAAGTGGGCCTAACTGGGCCTCACCTAGTGAACTCCAAGCAGCTGGCAGAGGCCTGAATTCAGTCCTGGGACCTGAGCATGCATGGGATGAAACCCAGCACACAGGGAAGCCTGAGAACATCACCCCTAGGTGGAAGACCACGACCCATGTGTCAAATCACAGGAATACACATAGGAATCCCCATGGGCCTAACTGGCCCATGCCCAGTGAACTCCAAGCAGCTA